GAGGTGGATTGCAGCTAACTTTTTGTCTTTGTTACAACGATACTGTTGTCCTGATTATGTGTGCTTGACTAGAGGTTGAAATTCCATAAAGAAGACATGAAATCATTTTCATGTATGATGTTATGTTTCATAGGTTAATTCAAACAATCAGAAAGTGTAATGCTATGTTCATACTGCAATTTGAGCATAATAAAAACATTTTTTATTCTTGTACACATTAAGGTCAGAAGGGCCTCAAGAGCAATTTGAGGCTCCGAAGTGCAAGTGTGAACAGATGCGTCTAATGCTTCTGCTTCTCCTGTGTTCGACTGCAGGGAGCGACTTTGCTATATTTGCTGTGATCAGTGGGTAAAAAGTACTTTTAATAAATTTTTATGCAAGAAAGTCCAACTCAAAACATTGTCTGTGCATTAAGTACATCAAGATCATAATCTTGCCTTAAAATATTATTTCGCACATAGCGGCGGTGTGCTGTCACTAGGAATCCCCAACAGCAGCTGCCGAAGGCCCGGTCGCCTATTAGGGGTTTTCTTTACTTTTCCTGGTAGATGGAAATGGATGTTAGCGTCTTTCAAGTATGTGATACAAACTGCAAGCACCAGAATAAAAAGGGCAAACAAATTTTGCCCGCAGGTTTCGACATTTTAGGTTACTTTAATAGACCGTGTGATATTAGTGATCTGCATCAGCAGTGCTGTGTCTGTCTCCCTGCCAGCAGATCAGCTTCTCTGATTGGTTGATGTTGTGCGTTAGCAGCAAATGTAAAATTTTTGCCGATCCTGAAATTTTGAACATTTGAGCTAAAGTTCCAGGAGAAAAACAGGACCTACAATTTCTCTTTTTTTTTTTTTAGTAAAAGCCATACAATGTACAGCTGTATACATTACTAGCTAAAAGCCTGATGATGCGGGTATGTGTCGGGGAACACCACACGGCTGTTTGCACCCCTGCAAAAAAAAGGGCGCTGTGCTCAAAAAGAGGTGGGCTGTGTTTTAGGTACCTCCCTATTTTATAAACAGAATACCCAAAAATGGGTGCAATGTAAGGAAAAGGGCAAATTTATATCACAACATTCTCTGATTTTGTATATAAGATTGATATAGTTAACAACTGTCTATATATTTGCTTAAGTTGCAAAGAAATACTGTTTTTTATTGATGACATAAGATGCTAAATTTCCAACAAAGGACATGGGATTCTATTTTTTTTTCTTTATACTACAGTACTAAGTGAATCTAAGTATCCTGTTCAACCAAACAGTTCTATTAAAAAATGGCTCAAATTTTAATAAAATCAAATAATATTTAGGAGATAAGTTTTATTCAAAGTTCGGCACAAAAACCTGGCAAATGGAAGAGTCAACCATTTTCTTTAAATTGGGTCGTTTTGATCGCAAGCTTGGAACCACTGTGTAGTTTTATCTATAGCAAACAGCTTTTTTTATGCCTTTCTAACAATTTCACCTCTAAGAATAATATATCAATGGTGCTTATCTTAAAAGGATTTACCATATGTGAAAACATGTTGTGGAAGTGGGTGTTTTGTCACAACTAACTATTTTCCCATTAGATGATAAAAGATCAGTTTTAGCAATTAATCAGAAGGTGGCTGCTTGGGTGAAGGCTAGCACCCACAGGCACCAGGGAGGTCGCGGGAACAATAAAGAGCTCTTCCTGTGGTCAAAAGCACAAGAGGTTAAGAGGTCAGAATAAGCAGCTGCACAAATGCCAGCGACTGAACTAAGAATCTAAATTGGAAGCAAAACAGATCTTCTGTATTTATATAAAATGTGTGCCAAAAAGTACAAACATAATCAACAGCAACCTGGCAGAGATGCTAAAGTGAAGAGCATCTCTCTGCTCTTATGTCACCAGTTTTAACTGAGGAAGGAGCCAGCAGAGCTGTGGATGTTCATTTTGGCTCCACAGACAGTGAGAGGCTGACTGCCAAAACACAAATGACTGTAATCCTGCTTTGCTGACCTCACTAAAAAAGGTCACACATATCTGATCTAAATCTTGCATGCAAGAATTCCTGATGAATAAAATGATTTTGGTCGTCTCTGGCACAGAAAACAGGATCTCCAGCAGCAATTACTGCGTTGGATTATAACTTCCCTTAGGAAAGGAAAATATATTTACTAATGTATATCTTGAAATATGTCCTAATAAATTGTTTTTCTAATATATTATACATTGTTAATAGATGGAATCATATTTTGATAGAACATTTTTACAACTAATAATTTACTCATAACATATTGCGATATATTGAATATACAAATTAATGCCACTTTTCATATGTTGTAATAAATGAATATGAACATATATAGTATCTTTTTATATGCCCAGAAATACATTTAATTTTACATTTATAAATATCCATCATCATGCATAGCAGTTTATAATAGAAAAGATATTGATAATAAATATAAAGGCAAATAAATTTTTTTTACATATATAGAAAAATTTATGGAAACAAATTAATCAACAATATCTGGTAGATAATATTGTAAATGTATAAAACATGGAAAAATATGGTAATTTATATGTAGAATACATTCTAAATATGTCTAATAAAATGGAAAAGTGTGAAATATTTATGAGCAAAGCTTTATATGATAATTAACTCAGATTAATGGATATTTATTAGTGATGGTAAGATGAAGCCTCATGAGGCATTGAACCGTTTGGGCTAATTGCTTCAATGATCCCCACAATTCATGAAGCTTCATGTGAACAGAACTACAATTAGTGATAAAATCTGATTTTTTTTTTTTGTTTGTTTTTTTGCAATACTTTTTTTTTTCTTTTTTTTTCCCCATTTAAGTTCCTTTGAAATTGTTAATGATTTGTGTGTATAATAAAATCTTTTATAAGTTTTTTTTGTGTAAAATGTCTTAGAAGAGAACAATCATTTAAGGTACACTGTTTTTTTTTTTTGCCATTTTAGTGAAATAAGCTTAAGCAGACATCAAAAGTGCTTATGCAAATTGGGCAATGATAAGCAAAATGAAAGGTGTTGGTCATTTTTATTTAAAAAAAAAATTTTTTACAAAAGTTTTCAATCGTGTTGGAAGTTATGTATTCAACCAATCTTTTGGCTAAACCAACCAATCTAATTTGGCAGTGCTTTTACCAAATTTATATCTATACAAGGGCAAACCAATATAAATTAGTCACATTAGCCAAAATACTTGTTAAGTATTATTGCAACTTTCAAAGGTCTAATGTGCTCGAACTAACAATCTCAGAATTGGAAGTCAATGTCTTACAGCTGATGGTAACCGCTCACTTGCAATACTTCTTAACACTCATATTACAACTGAAAGCAGTGGCTTGCTCAGATTTTGACCATTACATTGTTTAATCTAACCAGAATATCTTTAACCAAAAGATTGGTGGTTTTTCCAACCAATCTATTGTTAGAATATATCCAAACTCTATACAACGGCCAGCAACTCTCCTACAAACTCCAACATCTTGACCGAGTAGTGAGGCTGTTTAAATGTCTGTTCGAGTTCTTGCGCAGTCTGAACCTCTTCCTGAAGCGGTAATGTGATATGGCGCAATAGCGAGGCTTTGGACGTCATCTTTTTTGGCTCCTCCTCCAAATGAAGCAAGCATCGATACGCGTTTCACATAAACACCTCCTCCACTACTTCACACACGCCTCGGCTCATTTAATAACTTCAGTAGTATCCATCAAAAGCTGCCTCCATTATTTTTTTATCAGAAACAAAACCGGAGGTTGTAGAGATAAAGCTACGTTTTAAACAGATCAACGGTAATCATGCGCTAACCATAAGACCATTTAGTGGGCTTTTCCATTTCAATACATTCAGCAGGTAATATTTGCTCTATTATTAGTGTTTAAAGCGTGGAATATTATCTGTTTGAGCTGTTTGCCTCTTTGTAAAATGAAGATGTTGCTACATTAATAAGGGTGACGGCTAAATGTAAATCTTTTTCAAAAGTGGGAGAATTCTGTAGCCGCATTCCTATAGCCAGCTGACAGGATTCCTGTTTTTCTCTCTGCCAGTTTCTCTACCATCTCTTTTGAAGGTCTTTAAAGCACAGAAGAGGAGTTAAGACTGTTAAGTTTAAAGCCTTGGCATACCCTGCACCCAGTAACCAAGCCTATTAATGAGAATATATTTGTCATCACATCAGCAGAATATTTCCCAACAGTGCTTGTTAAAAACCCGGCTTAGCAGCAGGCCACAACAGACAGACCTTCCCCATTAAAGTTGTGATGCCCTGCCTTTGCTTCTTTGCATTCTACATTTTCAATTTGCATGTTTCCAAAAACTCAGTGTGACAGCACTCTGTGCAGCTCTGGCTCTTCTTGCTCAGTGGCCGGAGGCTCTGCAGGGACAGGCGATGCTGAGGAACACTGAGCTGCATTGTCAGACTGGTTCAATGACCCATCTATGCACTGGCCAATACACAGAGAATAAACAACACTCTGTCCTTAATTTGCTTTAAACTGCGGTAGCATTCCCATCTGCCTTATTTGTAAAACCTTAAAGCATCATCAATACTTAAATGAATTACATATATATGGATTATTGCAAAGTTGGGAGAAAGCTCTATTACATAAAATATCTTTGTTTACAGCTGCAGGGTGGATGATTGTCTACAAAGGAGCACCAGCCTCTGGATAAAGATTTGCAAAATAAAAAAGTAAACAATGACCAGATGGGAGCAGAAAAGTGTAAACAAACATCGTTTTCATCTAGTTTGTAAATCAGATTTGCTGGTTTCAGGGAAAGCAAAGATCTCCTTCAGCCGGGCTGGAGGTGATTGTTCTCGGTTCTCCTCCCCCTTTTCTGTCAGGAGATCCGAGTGTCTTCTGCGTAATAAAGCGCCTTTATCTATCATATCCTCCCAAATGAGAAAGCTTATCTTAACAGAAATATCTGTTTGTTTAACTTTTTAAGGAGATATGTTTGGCAAAAAGTGATCCCCGCATTTAGAATAAGAGCAAACTGAACTCACCTCGACGCGGAACGATGTGCAGCCCTTCAGAAACTCCTTTATGTTGCTCAGACACTCGCCGTCGTTCTTCGGCTCTGGATAAATCTGGAACAAAAACAAAAGGGACTGAATCGCTGAGCAGCGATGGGCTGATCCTCTCTCACAAAGTGCCTGTTCGTGGATCTGTAGGCTTTTAAGTATCTTTGCTTTTTCAAGGCGCACTGGTCGCTTTCTGCGCGCATTGGGCCCGACGCGCCTGGAGGCTGCTGCTGTGAGGAAGTAAAGGAGGCTGGGAGCTCTGGATCCAGGAAGTGACGTCACCAAACAGGGATACCCCACCGATGATGATGTTGGAAGATTTTTACGAAACATAAATACATAAAAAGATTTTTACATTTTATTTCAGTTTAATGTGGGAAAAAAGTCAGAATTCTGACTTTAATCACAGAAGTCTGAGAAAAAAAGTCAGAATTTAATCTCTCAATTCTGATTTTAATCGAAGAATTCTGACTTAAATCTCAGAATTCTGAGTTTTTTTTCTCAGAATTCCGAATTTTTTCTCAGAATTCTGATTTTAATCGAAGAATTCTGACTTAAATCTCAGAATTCTGAGTTTTTTTCTCAGAATTATGACATTAATCTCACAATTTAAGATCCAAAATTCTGAGCTTAAAGTCAGAATTCTAAGATTAAATTCAGAATTCTGAGAAAAAAGTCAGAATTCTGAGATTACAGTAAGAATTCAGAGAAAAAAAGTCAGAATTCGGAGATTAAAGTCAGAATTCTGAGATTAACGCCAGAATTCGGAGATTATAGTCAGAATTGTGAGAAAAAAAGTCAAAAGTTTTTTCTTATATGAAATGAAATTTAAAAATCTGTTAACTTTTTTTTATTTCAGTGGCCCTAATCCTCTTCCGTAAAGGATACTAAAGGGTGATGTATTAATCACTAAAATACTAAATAATAATTTTAAAAAGCAACATTTACACAACATGAATCTAAATCTGTTTTTTTTTAAGCATGTCTTGGGTCTGAGGGGCTATTATCCCTGTAGAACTGATCTGGGCCTCTCTACCAGGGCCACTGGAAGTCATTTAGAACAGGGTTGCTGTGAAATGTTTTTTTGTTTTTTTGGGACAAAAGACCTATGAGCCTATTGGCCTATTTAAAATACAATACAAATAATAATAATAATTAAATAGATTGAGATTCACTACTTTATATTGAAATTTACAATTACGTGTACGCAACCAGGGTCTGTAACACACAGACATCCTCAGTTCTTTGGTGAATATATGCACTGTTACCGGTAATTAAACTTCACTATAACACTATAACAACATAGATTTGGTAAGCTGGCATGAACCTGAGTCACTGTGTTTATGTCACATGTGACTCTATTAGCTCCAAAATCCTTTTACGCAAACAACAAGGAAATACTTATATTATTACACTATTTAAGTTTATTTAACAGTTCTCCACATCCATTACACAAAGAACATGATATAAAAATAACACTCTCTAAAATACGATGGTTATGTTAGATATGAAAGTGCGCAGGGGCACATTGCTATAACTATGAGCTACAGGCAGGATGCCCTTCCTGGTTACAGGTGTCCAAATGTTCAGGTGCGCTCTCAAGTCGTGGAGATAAAGTCTCTCATGAGTGGACAAATCCAAAATGCATTTCTGCGCCATGTTTCCTCCTCGTTTCTGTCATTAAACTATGTACATTTACTAGCAGCCACTGGGGTGACCACTAGCTGCTTGACGTTGCCATGTCAACGTAACGTTGGTGAACTTATGTTGATTAGGCCTGAAAATAATAAAATTTTAATCTAATATAATGCCGTTGTTTTTGTTTATTGTTTATTGTTTATTTTATTCTTTTTTTTTGTGCTTCCATGTGAAAAGAACAAAACATAAGTGGCCCCACCCTGAAGCCCTGGTAAAACCAATGGGTTTGAATCCAGACCTAGGGTCTTTAGACATGTTCTCCGAGTGTTTTCATGCATTTTCTCCAGGTACTCTGACTTCTTCACACAGTTAAAAAAAAATAAATGTTAGGTCAACTGGCTTCTATCGCCCTGAGTGTGCATGCATGTTGCTCCGCCAAGGACAGGTGACCTGTAAGGTGACTCCCTGAGATAGGCGCCAGAAATTTATTGCAGTTACCATATCCCATTTTATAATCCTCTACATGACATCTTTTATGTGAACTTTAAATTCCAGCAGGAGCTCTGCATAAATATGTAGAAACACAACATTTTAACCCAGCTAGCCATTCTGAACATTGCAGTGTTATAAAGAGTGAAATAAAATCATTTAATACATATTTCACAAATAATGGTGGATATGCTCGCACATAGGATAAGCATACTTTATCTATGGAGGAAAGTGAACAAAGACAACAGATTTTGAGAGACATTTTTATATTCATGTTTGTTTGTTGTTGGGACAGAGTGGAGCTGCTTTTTGTTTTTGTTGTTTTTTTTTTAACAGTAGAAAAAGATGAAGCACAAAAGAAAATAAAGTTCAAACTGCAAGTAGATGAGGTCCAAAATGTAGAGAAAGCATGGCTTTAGCGCACTTTGAAAAAAACATTAATGTCGTTAAAAAGCCTTAATGTCTATTTATGAGTTAACTTTGATAACCCAAATTGCAAACTTTTATCAGCTGTTTTACTGCGCAGCTGTTTCTGATTCATTTACTCATGACTTAGTCAAAGTATCACCTTCGGTACTGTAGCCCATTTCACTATACTGGACTTATGGAGAGCTGGGGAACTACAGGAAGGTCCATCTATTAACTGAGCAAATATTTTTTTTACATAGCTTATATCTAATAGTATGCATTAAACATTTTTATTTGAAATATTTTGATATTTTTATTTCTACCATTAGGACTCCTTATAAACTCTATTTTTTTGGTGCCTCCCTTAGTGTTTGGTGCCCCTAGCACAGTGTTAGAGGTATGTGGAGAAACGCCTCAAACACTGTGGACAGGATGAATGAATGGTAGCCGGCGCGCGCGGATGACGTCATACACACTCCGCTTTGTTTTAAAAAAATATTAAAATAAAAAATATAACTGCGGATGTCTGGGGGACAGTGATTCGCCTACATGTTCTGAATGCTGGCGTACCATAAAGAATAAATTATGAACAGTTTAGTTTGTGCCTTCAAGTCGTTGCCCATAGGAAGACGTTACTTGGATTACAAAACTGAATATCTTCGGAACAGCTCCAAATGACACAAAAACTAATATGGGTGAGTAGAACATGATGTAATAACGTAAAATCAATGGGCCAATGTAAAAAAATGGTGTTCCCCTTTAATACACACAGTGCTTTAAGTGGGGGTGGTGTGAATTATTTGTGAGTCATGCAAATTATTATTGTAATCCAGATTTAAACTTTGCTTTTTGTTTTGTTTCTTTTCTTTTGAAGTCAGGTTTAGTTGCAGTTCATTAAAAATCCACCCTGTCGACAAATGTTCACACAGTTTTGAGTCACAGTCGGGGATTTTAACTGTTTGTAACAATCTGAGATTATTGCTAGTTGTATTTTCTATACAAAGCTTTATCATCTTTAGGTATAAAACAATGTTAATCTACATTGGTTTAAGAGGCTTAATAGTGAACCAGTAAACCATATAAATGCTTCAAAACATTATGTCACTCTTTCATTCTGTTTATTTCTATTATTCTCTCTTTTTTACCAAATACATTTTTATCTTTATTATATTAGCAGCCACAAACCCAACAAACACTGCCAGTCATATGTTCCGTACAAAGTGTTATTTATACAGCAAAGAAGTTTTAATACAGGCTATAAACTGGGCAGTGAGTAAACAATATTCAGGCTGGATAATATGACGATGGCCTGAATAGATTTATGATAATAAGCTGTGTTGAAATGAGAAGATACTAGTAAAAGGCATGACAAGAGGGTAGGGAACCGTCTAAAGATCTTTAAATGACAAAAAGGATTGTGCACCTTTAGGACATCACAATGGACGGTTTGCTTCCCATGTGTAATCTGAGAGCAGATGTCCCAATTCTCCCCACCCATTAGTCAGCCTTAAGGATGAGTAAAATAGATTTGGACATCTAGAGATAGTTTGTATGTATATAATATGTATTTTCAAAGTAATGTCATTCAAAGGTATGTTTATGTTTTTGCGTACAACATTCATGGTTGCATTTTTGGTACCGGTAATTCCATTACAAAGCCTATATGCATTATGTGTCATGATCTTGGTGCTGATGACTAGCTTCATTGCTCATTTCATTCACCTGTCTAACTCTGCCTGGTTTATCATTACTACTCATCTGATCCACCTGCTCCTGCCTCTATTTAAAGTGTTTGAATCCAGTTATGATGTCCAGATTATTCTCATTCTCTTGTGCCAGTGTTGAGAGGGTTTTTAGCGTACCTGAGTATTGCTGATTACCTGATTCTGACCTGTTCTGCCTCTCAACCACTGAGCCTGCTTGTTCCCCTCTAAATGGTTTGCCTGAATTGTCTCTGAAATCCTGAACCTGCCTGTTCCTGTTGTGATCTCTTTGCCAGACCTGACTCCTGACTCTTGGACCTCTGAGCCTTCCTGTTCTGATCTGTTTGCTTGACCTGGCTTCGGACTCCTGCTTGTTCTCCGTTCTCCAGTGCTGCAGCTTCTGGGACACTCTAGGCGGCGCCGGTCACATCTTGTTGGTAGCCCACGGGCTGGATCATACCTCGTTCTCAGGACACGGGCTGAACTGTTAAACCAGAATTTCCTGTGAAAAACGCCCTAGCTGCTGCTACTACAGAACTGCAGTTTTGTTTTAAATAAACACTTTTGAATGATACCACTGTCTGTCTTGCTTCAAATACTGGGTCTTCTGTTCTGAGTCATGTCATTATGATCTGATGTGGCGTTATTGACACGTCTAGGGGAGTTAACTCATCATATCACACAGCCTGTATGCTAGATTTAAACAGGAGCCAGTTATCAGTTGCAAAGTTATATAATTATTCCCTAGCTGGTGGGGTCACTTTCCAGCAGGACATTTCCCCTAAATATCGACAGAGGCAAACTAAACTGACTGAGATTATATATTTACTTTCAGTACTTATCAGGAATACTTTATGATGAGTGGGAAGAAATAAATCAATCCAACAGGCCAAATATACTACTTACATGCAAAATTTCCATACAATATTAAATGCAATCTTATTGCATCTAAGCTAGTTCATTGCAGTTGTGATGTTGCACTGATCTAAGGCAACAGGAGATTTAATTAGACATGTTGTGTGGCTCTGGTTTAGATCAAAACAAATTTATTAAAATAGCCTCGTTCATGTTAGAACGACCTAGTCAAAGTCCAAGACCAAAATCAAAGCAAGGGTTTAAAACTGATATTCATGGAACACTTTGGAATTTTTTTTAAAGAAGATTTTGCCTTCTAGGTTGCAGAAAGCCAAATCCTAAAGAAAGCCTTCAGCTAGTTTAGGAAATCTTTTCTATTCACATTGTATTTATATAAAAAAAGAAAAAAATAGAAATGTAAACACGCATTTTTTTTCATATCTTCACAATTTCTGCACTAATGCTGTTTAAATGAACCTGATCCCTTTAGGCTGATGCTGGACAGACTCAAACACAGCACTGTTTCTTTAAACTGGGGGAAGAAACCATCTCTCCCTGTGTGTGCGCCTCTGCTATCAATGGCGGCCTATACTGATGCTCTGTGTACAGATAACATGCTCTGATCCCCCGCTGGTCCCCACAGGACTACAGTATGTCAACTAACATGACATGCAAAATATGGATTATATTGTATATGCTTTCACAGCAGGGTTTAACAATTAATAACAGCCATAAAAATGATTGCATTTTCAGCAACATGATCGGTGGGTCTTGTGGAAAATGCAACACCATATAGATTGAATACTTCCTGATGATTTGGATAAACGTGAAGCAGCCTTATTTATACCAGATCAATAGGAGACAGGCGAGCCTTTCTGTTTTTTTACACGCTGACACAGGAAACATATGCGCAAGCTGTTATTGCAGACAATAACAGGAGCCGCCGTGACCTACAAAAGAGATTCAGTCATGGATCAGTGGGCAAAAAGAGAGACCAGACAGCAACCGCCGCGTCCGTGTCACGGATGTGGACAGACGCGCGGAGGGATGGAGAGGCAGGCCCGCTGGAGGAGGAGGAGGAGGAGGAGAGGAGGAGGAGGGAGGTGTGTTGCGCTTACTTTCTCAGTGGAGCCCGGGCTGAGCCGCTCCAGCAGCTTGCAGAGGACCACTCCATCCTTCAGGGAGCTCTGCAGGAAGCCTTCAGGATCCGAGATGGTCTTCTTTGGCGACTCCAGCACCCCGAGGGTGATCAACCACGTAACCGTCTGTTCCGCTGAATTCATGTCTCTACGGATCCTTTTCAACAAAGAGCTGCAGAGGAGTGTTTGACAGCTCACCGCCCCGGTTATGCTGTCATCTGCAGGCTACCTTAGAATAACATCGTTGTTGCTCCAGAAAAAAAAGGATAGAAAAAGATGCAGGGGGGAGCAAATACCCCCTCTTTACTAGGCAGGATGCGGATGATTAGTGATGAAAATAGCAGATCTCCTGCTCTGTGTTTGAATGCTCCGTTTCCAGTCCGTCTGTAACCTGGAAAAGCTGTCTGCGACGCTCTGAGGCAGAGGAGCGCGCACATATGCGCACCGCAGCCAGCAGCCGCTCAGCTATTGGATGGTGACATCAAACCTGGGGGGAGGGGTTGGGGAAAGGTGGGGAGAGGGGGTCAAGCCAGTCCAACCAGTTGTTGGACCGCTTCAGCTCATCATGAATAGGTGGCTTTTCATGTCCTGCTCTTTTCTCTTTTTTTTGCGTTATAATTAGACCCACGCCGCCTGTGGCTCCTTGTTGTTTGTATTGGACAGACACCAGTTCAAAAGAGGATGCATAATATGTTGTTATGTAGAGGATGGGTTCGTAATGACCTGTATGCACTGTAAGAAATTGTATTTTTTTTATATCAGAGCAAAGCATACATTTTCACAAAGAAGCCCCTAATCTTAAATAATCTTGAGACTTCTATTAATTAATACACTTATGCAACATTATAAAGATATATATATTGATTAGTAAACTCAAATTTAACAAATGGTGGTCAGTCAAGAGATCCCAAGGGAATTGTGAGTCTGTTGCTCGACTTATCCGGAAATAAATTAAATATTGACAAGAGGAAAAAGAATGATCTCCCCGTCATCTTATGCTGATTTTTATATTCTTTTTTTTTTACCTTGAACTTTGGGCACATTTACTCAGTTGGGACGAAGAAAAAACATGATGAGAAGTAAATGCTTAAAAACAAAATACTTGGGAGTCCCAATTCTTAGTACTCCTGGTGTCCTTACTTTGTACAGTCTCTGTTTGCCTATTTGACACCATAATATGAATCTATAACCTAACTTGAACATATAGACACTATTCATAATTCACTCATCCCACCATGCTCTCTTCTGGTCTCTCTGTGGCTCCTGGAACAGATTTTCTTTTGGGTTTAATTTCTGACCATCTTGATTTAGCAGAATAGTTTCGGATCATTATAACCAATTTTCAGATTTCTGGAGGGAGTTAATAATCCCTTGAAATGTTTCTCTCTTTCATACGATGCAAAATGCATTCAAACACAGATTTAGAGTCTTTGGAAAAGAAAAAGGGGCATACAGCATCACATGTCCCTATAAGTTTAAAGAAACTATAAAGTATTAAATAGATCAAAATGTTTCTGTAACATTTATTTTGGAGTGGAAAAAATGTTAGCTGGCTTTTATCAAGATTTTTTTCCAAGGTGCTAATAGATTTTCCATGTCTATGTACTAATTTCTTTTAAGAGCAGAAAAGCCTCTTCAACAAGATAAGAGGTACATACAAACTGTAATGAATATCCCAACTCTGCCATTTTGAGTCAGAAAGAGTTTATGTCCCGCTACAGTGTGTTTCTTGCAAAGGTAACATGAAACTGACAGTGGGATCAAAAGGCAATTCATAATTTTTATTGAAAGTCCCTTAAACCCATTTAGATATCCCTATAAATTAACTGAACATTTTATATTTAAATATTCATATTTTCCTATTTCGAGCCTTAAAATAGTGCAAAGCCTGAACAACACAGTATTTTGAAGGCAGGGAAGGTTTAGATGCTAACATACGGAGTCTGCAAGAATCTAAGAGTCAACTCAAGCTAAGTGACAAAATGAGTGGCTAAATTATTTTAAAAAAAATGGTTTAAATTCTAACAAAAGACACATCTATACAGGAAGCCCTTCACTAAAACAAACATAACAGAGCATCAGTAAAACAAATTGAAAACAAAGTGTGTTGGCTGCATTATGACACCAAACACTTCACATCCAGTGTGAGACATGGTGGTGGCAGCATCATTCTGTGGGGATGCTCTTTTCAGCAGGAATGAAGAAGCTGATCAGCTTTAATGGGAGGGTGTGTGGAGCTGAGGATGAAAGAGCTATGAGAGCATTGATTCACAAAGTTGGGGACTATGGCTCCTTGATCAATCAGTATGCACTCTTGAGACAAACTAACAACAATTAAACCAAACATATCACATTTATGTTAAAGTGATAAAAAATATACAACAGCATCACATAAACATAGACACAACCAGCTACTTTGGTTGTTGATGCAATTTATAATATGATAACACTTGTGGTCCAATGATTTTTTTTTTTACAACTGTTTGTTTCTCAAACAATAGTTTGGGTCCCAAGTTAATTTTATTTCTAGGTAGGAAGAGGAAATGTTTGGGAACCTCTGTGTTATATAATAAATAAGAACTAAGAATGGATTTGACGTTCACCCTCCAGAGAATATCAACTGAAATTCGACTCAGTTTTACAATTTAAGGAATAAAATGAAGGAACGTGTGAATAAAAAAATTATAATAATTTGTCCAGCCGTTTGCCTGTACAGTAAAGAGTGCTACATCTTATATTGGCCACAAGATGGAGCTCTCGGTTCGTTGTGTGCCACTCCTCTCCATTGGGGGGTTTGACAAACTCACCCCACCTGCTCCACACATGTATGGTCATTAGTCCATAACCAGAAGTCCATGAAAAAATAAAAATAATAATTCTTATAAAATCCAAGTCATTAATGACAGGGTAAAAAAAAAAGTTATAGAAAAATATTTCAAATTTGCATAGTAAGGTATCAGCTAGTTTATTTCTAAAGATATAAACAGTAGCATGGATATACATTCTTGTATAAGGTAAAATAATGTGGGGGCTTAAAAGCTCCTGATAACAGATGCTGTTAGCTACAGGAATCTGTATTTCAAACTAAGCAGCAGGTCCTGACAGTTCAGACCTCAACTCAGACTCTTTACAGCTCTATTCACTCTTCTCTATTTCCTTGACTTATCTTTCAGTATGCGTGTTTAAGAGAGCAAAAAGTAATGTGTCCGTTGTCTGGAAGGATGACTCCTGAGGCTATATATTTGAAACAGGCAGTGTCGAGGGATGCTGCTGGGCCTATGAGGTCCTGTCGCTATGGGTCTGTAACCAGGGGTGCTGCTGTGAGTACTCTGTTAGATGCAGCCAGTGTTTAATCAGTAAGAAACAGGAAAAGGTTTATGCCCGACATTCCTAAATGAGGGCTTTATTAAAGTGAGACCTTACTTTTTAAATCTCTCTCATCTGACTCAGGGAGACAGTTCAGATTTTGGGATGCCAAATGAAAGTTTGTAAAGCTCAAAGACACTTCACAGGCTTATGTCCATTTAGCAGAATAACTGATGGACCAGACATAAAATAATGACAAGCTGTCTGGAAGATAAAGTATCAAATCTGTGCTTCCTAATAAGAGGATGCAGTCGACAGGAGGAAACAAACCAGATTTTTACTCAGATTTCTAATTATTTCATGTACAGGTCCACCTTGATCACTGGGACCTAAAACTGTGATGGATGAAAAGGAAAAACATAAAACCAGAAGCATTAAATTTACCTGCTATTGTGAAAATCAGATAGGAATGTTTTTGTTAAATTATTTTGGGTTAAAACAAGAGTTTTACAGTCACAAAAGTGAGCACAACACTTACATTTTAGTTAATATTATATTTATTTNATTTCAAGAAGGAATATAAAACGCCTCTTAACACAAAGAGGTCAAATAAAGAACATACTCTAGAGAACGGTTGATTATCAGTGTTGTGAATTTTTTATTTGGCCACTTGCTTTGAAACAATATTTGGCTAAAATAACCTTTGCTTAACAATTTCCAATTTGTTCCCAGGTTCTCATGAGAACAGAAAAATAGTATTCAAGGTGCTCCCCTGTGCTTAACGGTGGATAAGCTCTGTCAAAACAGTTAAAAACAACAAAAAAGTTACGTTTTTGATGGTGGCATAAAAAAAAATTCTTATCCCGGCATGTTTTTGAAACAATAAGTTGGCTTGTAGATTATGTTGAATGTTTTTTTTTGTGTGTGTGTGTTTAAAACAGACAATCTCTTACAGATCTCTAGTTGCCTGGTCATACCTAAAATCTAAGACTGGGGAACGAGGAAAATGAGCAGAGATGCAGCCAAGAGAAGAATATTAAGTCTGAAGGAGCTGCTTAGATTAACAGTTTACATGTAGGGAAGAGATTGTGTTGACTTGACTTTACACAATGTATTGATGGGGCGGCAAAAAAGAAAGTCATCTCACTTCAGGTTGGCCAGTTCTTTGTGGGACACAATAGACAGGTGGAAAATAACAAGTACAGTAAAAGTTTTTGGCCTCTGTAGCAGAACACTAACTTTGCAAATCAACCTAACCATATAAGCCCTAGAGAGAAACACGGTGGTGGCAGCATTCTTGCGCAGAAGAAGCTTCCCTTTGGTAAGGATTTGGAAGCTGGTCAGAGTTTGGAAGATAGATGAAACTAAATACAGGATAGCTCTCAAAGAAAAACCAATGAGGACTTAAAAACATATGTTAGAATACCATCTTGTGGTACAGACATACCCCAAAAGACATGAAGCTGCATCTGGAACTGAGATAGTTCTTGAAACCATGCTGACTCTGCTGACGGGTTAAATGCATACGGCCACTCCAGAACAAATGAAATAAATGTAGGTAAGTATTGATAATGGACAAGACGTTTTCCCCAGATATTTTGGCCGCTATACCTTTTATTTATGTGTTTACACATATGTGTCCAATTGTTAGCAAAGGCTGCAAGGCAGCATAGCTTGTCTTTATTTAGAAAATATGGATGTTGTCCTCGTTCCTGCTGGAACAGTGCAGACTGACCCTGAGGTTCTGGCGCCCATCTGCTTTCGCCCCAGTCGGCCTCAGCAGATGGGAGTTTTTCCTCTCCACTGTCGCTACAAGCATGCTTAGTGTGAGCAATTGCGTTTCAGTCAATGATTTGATGCAATCAACTGGTTTTCGTTAGAAAGAAAACTTTGCATCAATTTGCTTGTATGATCTGGTGAACTCAAAGGCGTAGGTTTGATTTCAACTTTGGTAGGGACACTATTGGTCTGATGTCATTGGTCCTATGCAAAATATGAATGATCGTATTTTTATGCTTGACGTGAAAATCAGGGTGTATTTCGTTTAAAGAGAAAAGCAGCATTTATTGCTACATTTATACAAATTTTATAAGCACTACACACACTAGATGCTGTTTATCAACGACTGAAGCTTAACTGGCTCAGATGAATGTGGAATTAGGACTTTTTTCCACTTTAAGAAGATTTGTATTTGAAATTACCAGCGACTAATACAGTAGGTAAATCTGTGCCTATTTAACAGAATATAGTCTAAATATGTCTGCTATATGTGGATTTAAACTTTTTTTAATTTTGAAGATATAGTATTGTGCAGAGTTAAACAGAGGTAAAACCCACTCTTATCTTTTAAATGTTCTCTTTGTGTCATGATACAAAGTTAACTAAAAGATTCAAGGGATGCCAAATAAATGTATTGTATTTACATGTGCACTGGAACTAGAAGAGGAACTGACATTGAGCATTTAATATATTAACTTAACTCTACAAGTTGTACATCTAGGTTGTAGTTACTCTGTTTAGCCCATTTCATGTATTTTATTTAGGGCTGAAACTATCATCGGATTAATCAATTATTGAAATAATGTCAACAAATTTAGTAATCGATTAATCGTTAACTTGAGTATAGAGACGCTAAAACATGTCTTTAGCTCACAAAGTGACCCACTTAGAGCAGGAATTATACCAAAATTGTAAAAAAAAAAGATAAAACATGTTTTCGTCTGTGAATATTCTCCATCCAGAACTGTACTGCTGCTACTACGATGTATTGTAAATTATAAGCATGTTCTTCACATGTAATTTTTGGTAGGGACAAGAAGGTCGGTCCAAATCTTCGGTAGGGACATGTCCCTATAGTCCCTATGCAAACCTACGCCCATGGGTGAACTGTAAAGTGCCTTGAGATGGCATGTGTTGTGAATTGACGGTATGTAAATAAACTGACTTGAATTGAATAGTAGATTGACCCTGAGGTTCTGGCGCTTATCTGCTTTCGGCCACCCCTCAGTGTACATTGGTTATTGCCTGGCCCCCCCAATTAAAATTTTCTGGCTACACCTCTGCCCCTGTCTAGAACCACTCATGGTTTAGTCAGAGGCGTAGCCAGAACATTTTTATAAGGGTGGCTAAGCAATAACGGATGTACACTGAGGGGTGGCACCACAACCTCACGGTCAATCTACACTGTTCCTACAGGAAAATTAATAAGCATAACATCCATATTTTCTAAATAAACACAAACTATACTTTCCTACAGGCATTGCTAACAAACAGATGCATATATTTAAACATCTGTGCTTTCTAGATAAAAGGTAGAGTGGATATATATTCTTTTAAGTTTCAATTCATTTGTTACTTCAAGGCTGGACTATTGTAATTCTTTACTATCAGGAAGTCCACAAACTGTAGTTAAAAGCCTTCAGCTGATCCAAAATGCTGCAGCCAAAGTTCTAATGAAAATTAAAAAGAGAGATCATATCTCTCCTATCCTGGCTTCTCTTCTTTGGCTTCCTGTTAAATC